CAAAGTAGACTGTAGACTAGACGATAGAACTGTCTTCGTCAGCGGTGGAACCACGAACGGAGCGACGCAAATCGTCAAATCCGGGATGCGTCAACCCACTTTGGCGCTTACAATACTCACGAGAATTATTTATCCCTGTTCAACATTCGATAAGCAACAAGGATGAAATGATTCCATAAGTCCGGATCTACAATAGGTGTTTTAAGCCTTAAGCCGTAAGAAATTGACCAACTACAGTCAAATGTGAGGAGAATAATTGATTGTGATTCGTCCATTTCTTATGGCTTAAAGCTTAAAAATCTATTGTAGATCCGAGGTAATCGGTCGCGGGCGTAAAGGCCGTAAAGTAGAACGCGCCTCCGGTGGCGAGGCGCGTGCGATTCACCCACGAACAACGAATGCGACGGACGTGATCTAGAGAGCGACTAGTCCGTGGGGAAAACGGGCGATCTCTCGCGCGGAGCGGAGCGCGGAGCGGAGGTTGGCTGAATTCTCTCGCGGAGCGGAGTGTATTTTCGTTTATCGAGTGGACACGGCCGACACGGCACACACACGCTCCCCTTGGTCGCAGCGCGCCGGATTACCGCCGAACGTCCGACGGGTGATGAGAAGCTCGCGCCGCAGTTAAAAAGGCCGCGCCAAGCTCCACGTGAGGTGACTCGTCCGCGTACAGTGCACGTTCGCCCCGCTGTACTTTAGGGGGAAAAAAAATACAGTGCCTCGCCAGAAATACGAGATCATGGCGGTGCCCAACAGCGGTGTAGGTGAGTTATTTTATTTGAACGGCCCGTAAACATCCGGGTAGATTCTCCTCCTCGTTCCTCTCCCTTTTAATCGGATAATGAGACCCCCGAGGTGGGACGATGCGACGATTGTCGGACCCGGCACTCTCGCGCTACGCTAATTGACAGAGGATGGCAAGGATACCGCGAGCCGCCCGTATTTCTCGTTTAACGAGTCATCGAGATGGTAGACTCGATAGTACATCCGTTGCGAGTCGGTATCATCCTCCCGCGGTATCGCGGACTCTTCTCGGAATCCCCGATGACTCGAAAAATCGCAACGGCGAAAAGGTTAACCATGCTCAAGTCCTACCCATAACCTGTATCGGCGCGAATATCGCGCGGGTACGTTTCAGCTGTTATGATTGTATTATAATTACTGTGTTAATAAATGCAACTATATGCCGCAACAAATCTTGTCTTTTAAAATAGATTTACGATCTTCAAGGTTATTTATTTAGAATCTAAGATCTAATGAATTATGATGATATAAGATTATACACTTATTAGATTGTACAGCTGACTATAAGTATAAAGCACCCTGAAAAATTGACGTAAACGTTTTATATCTAATGAAAAATAAGTTAAAGTTATGTTGAGAAATAATAAGTGTTATACCTACACCTTCCTGGTATACAATGTTTATTTGTATGACAATTTTAATATATTATTTTCCTTTGATTTTATTATTGCTAGTATTCTTTTGAAGGAGTAATTTGAGGATATTTTGTATTTATGATCAAGTATGTTATCCCACATAATGTTTCTCCAAAGAATATTCTGGGAAATGTAGATGTCTTCAGAATGTAAAAAGTTAGGCTATAAGAAAGATCTGTGATTAAGATGTTTCTCGGAGATTGTATTATGTAAGATAAAATTCAAGGATTTCAGAGACTCTCTTTATAATTTCTTAATCTCTAGCTTATAAACCGAATATATGCGAAATGAGGCTCAAGGTCAAACTTATATTAATTACAGCCATGTTCTAATATAGGATGATTTACAAGAGACACAGATACAGTGAATCATTACTCCTTATGGGCTTTCTACAATAAGCCATTACCTAAGCTTAAGTCTTAAGCCGTAAGAAATCGACTAATCACAGTCAAATGTTAGAAGAATAATCAACTATCAATGATCAATTTCTTAGCTTAAGATTTAAAGCTTAGGTAATAATTTATTGTAGAAAGTGCATTATTGTTTGCCAATGATAAACAAAAATGAAGTGACACTGTCTTTTGCTGAAAAGCACCAATCACACTATCAGTTCTTAAAATATATAATTTACATTATATATAAGATAGATTTTCAATACTGGCAGTGTATGTCTGAATACAATTTACGAGTTGATTGCTCTTACACCGAGCCATACATTACCCTTCAAATCATGTTTCAGTTATGCCCCGAAATTTTCGGCTCCTAGAGGAGCTGGAACAGGGCCAGAAAGGTGTGGGTGATGGCACGATCAGTTGGGGTTTGGAAAACGATGATGACATGACCCTCACGCATTGGACTGGTATGATAATTGGACCACCTAGGGTAAGATACTTTTTACTAGTGTCGTTTGTCATCGTTGCGCTAACACGAATCTGTATCATCTTTTTATATATAATATAAATTTGCTTTCAAGAAAATTTAAATACAAACTAATCTACATTGCGATACTTATGTTAAATATATTTTTTACTTTTCTCACATCAATATCAGATAAAATTTCCGTGACGCTTAAATGAATAATTGTTAAAAACAATTTTTATAAATAGTTTGAATATTAATAACAATTATATATATTATATCGTTAAAATATTCATATATTGAAACAAAAATATGACTGTAAGAATTAACTGCATCAAAATGTGATACTACATAAATATTAAAGCTTGAAGAAATATTTTGTTGATATATATATAATTAATAATATCATATCTTTTAGACACCATATGAAAATAGGATGTATAGTTTGAAAATTGACTGTGGTCAAAGATATCCAGATGATGCCCCTAATGTAAGATTTTTAAGCAGAATCAATATGAATTGCATTAACAGTGCCACTGGAGCTGTAAGTATACAAAATTGCAGTGTACATTTATATTAAGATATAGAACATATGTACTTAATACAACATGAAATTTTCATACAAGGTGGATAATCGCAGCGTTCCAGTCCTTGCAAAATGGCAACGAGAGTACACAATTAAAACAGTTCTTCAGGAACTCCGTCGTTTGATGACGTTGAAGGAAAATATGAAACTTTCTCAGCCTCCGGAAGGCAGCACTTTTTAGCCTAACCGTATGAACAGAGATATCTTCCTTTTTGCAATAGCATGAGGCGAGATTTAATAAAGGTACCAAATAATATTAAAAGGGTGCCCGCTGAAAATATATGTTAAAAAAGAAATTAAAAAACACGAAAAAAAAACAGCTTTGTGAAAGAAAGGAGGTAATAGCTTGGAAAGTTGAATGAGTGTACCGAGTTCATGTATAGATTAGATAGAAAAAAATGACAAAAACGCATTTGTCAAGCACAGCTGGTTCTTTGTCGGAATTTTTCACTAAAAGTAGCAGTATTTTCCTGGAACCCTGATTTCATTGCATATAACGACATCATATTCGCGCACGAGATAATCCAATATGGATACGAATTGATTTAAGAAAACTTTGCTCCAGCTTTTCAAGCTAGTACAATGTAAAGCGGAAAAAATCCATATTTTGAATCTTAAAAAAACTGGAGACACAGTCTATGTAATAAAAATGAATAATCAGTAAGAATAACTTATGCCTTTAAAGTTTTTTAATGAGAGAAGAAGAGTAACGTCTGGTATTGCCGTTATAAGATTTCTCTTCTGTTTGCGCGCAAGTGCCATTTCATCTCTTGCAGAGATGTCTCTCTCTCAATGCTGCGGTAGAAAATTTGTGAATTTTGGACTATCGTAAATCTGTATGGCTATTTTACTTTTCCGTGCTGCATATACTGTTTAAACTAGCGATTTACAATGAAATAACGTACATGTCTGAGAAATTATGTCCTTAAAAAAACGGCCTCTCTCTCTTTCACGCTAAACGAATTGCGTTTCGTAATTGATGAGGAGACGTCGCTTTGTAATGCATGCATAAATTTAATTTGTAATATCTCGTATATAGCGAACAATACATACAATGCTGCATGGTAAAGTACATCAATGTATGAAGCATCGTGTGAATGATGAGATCTTTTAGTCGATATCATATTTAGACATATTGAAAGTATACTACTTACCAATGTGTATTTGATTGTTAACATGCAACAAGATTATAAAGTATGCAGATAAATAATGCTTACTATTTGACCCAAAAGCTTCATGATTGATGTATTATGTGAATATTAATTTTGTTATAATTCTCTGAATCATATCTAATTCCTAACAGTACTTTGTAAAGTACAGGAGTTGCGTATTATAAATCAATTTATTTTAATCTTTAGTGCAATCACAACTATAAATTCATATTGTTGCTGAAAATCGAATTATATGCAGTTTATTAATGATTGATGATGTTTAAGTAAATATGTTCCAGCAAGAAAATAATTGTTATTACAATGTCATCTCAAGATTTATATTATTCAATTAATCGAAAGGATGTTTTATATCTAAAGTTCCACCAAAGTAGATTTTGAAATATTTCCACGTTTGATTGTATAAATATTTTCTGATTACCCGAACGAAAATTATACATACCTCTTTATCCGCTTTGCATTTCAGTATTACACTATCGATAATATAATAGTGTAATTTATAAATCATCCTATTAAAAGAATAACAAGTTATAGCTCCATGTGGACGAAAACAAGCTTAAGGAGAATAAAGTGATTTCCTTAGAAGTAAGCGTTTCCTGTGTTTCTTACCCATATGTTAGCGACTTTCTTTTAACTTTTAAATAAATCGTTGCTTTATTGAAATTAAATGACTTTGTAACATATTCAGATTTTTGCAGATATTTTATCCTTTATCTTTGAAAATAAGTTGGATGAAAACTTTTAATTGAAATAATTTGTAAAAAATATTGCATAATCGCATAATAAAAACTAAAAACTTACCAAAAATAAATAAGAATATATTCAGTTAGTTAAAATATATATCCTTTGATCTTGTAGACTTAAATATGTCCATAAATACTCTATCATTTTGTGAGTTGCTTAAAATTGTAAATAAATCATGTGTCTCATCAAGGGAATGGACATTGCTTATGTTTAACAATTTATTTAAATCAGACGATGACTCCATTTGGTATAACTATGTACAATGTTTAATTTAATAGATTTTGGTAGTGATGACAAATTGACAGTTCTCGTCAAATATATGAATAAGTTTAAATCTTCAGAGAGGAGCCACAACTTGCCGGATACATTGTTTAAATTGCGAAACTACATTCTGATACCAGCACAAAAGCTAACATCACGGCGTCAATTTCCAAGTGGCTAACGATATTTTTTGGGAACAAACATTAGTTTTGTACTCTTTACAGTCGACCACTTATGTCGCTTAAAGTAGTATGAAGTAACCAAGAGAATTGCAAATATTCCAAGACCCTATAAATAATCAACATTAAAATAATTAAGATAAAATGATAAAGTAAAATAAAATTCGCAGTGATATTCAGTTCACCTTAATAGTCATTTGTTTTCGTTCATCAAATTCATGATTGGCAGTCCACATTAGGAATGTGGTAATATCTTTTGTTACTTGAGAAGCAGTTGCTGGAGTACCATCTTCATATTCTAAGACTTCGTTATAAATAGCCTGTATGAAGGAATATATATAGAATTGATTTATTATTATTTTTATTATTATTAATGGATGTACTAAGTTCAGTCGCTAATTGAATCAGCTTTAATATAAAAAAAAAAGTGAATGACTCACCTGTGCCATACCAATAGCACCACCTGGAAAATATGGATTGAAATATTGTCCTTCCCTTAAAGTTAGACCAGCTGGTGCATCACAATATCCGGTTAGCAAAGAGAAAACGTAGTTCTGAAATATATGTAAAATATATTTTTAATTAAGTTGTACTAATAAAGTATTTTTATTAAAAATTTCAATGAAAATCCATTAAAATATTAATTTCTTAATTGCACAAATTCTATATATTATTAAAAATTTACTTACCTCTCCATTGTGTCTGGCATTTATTATGTAAGATAAATCAGGTGGATAAGCACCATTGTTTGATGCCCTGGCAGCTTCTTCATTCGGATATGGAGATGGCACATAATCGTACAATTTTCCTGGACGTTTATAATATTCTCCAACTTCGTTAGGGCCATCTTCTATCTGTGTATCACATAGAAGTTTGTTACTATATTAAATCTTGTATTTTACACATACGAGTTATAAACATACGAGATATTTTTCGTAGTAATATTATAAAAGATGTACCATGACTTCTTCCGCGAGAGCTTTGGCTTCTGCTTCGGTATGAGTAACATCAATAAGGTGACGGTATGCCACATATTGCAAACTGTGACAAGCTGCACATACATTCTTGTAGACCTCCCATCCTCGTCGCATGCTACAAAATTAGATTAATAACAACAATAACACATATGCATAATTCATTGTTAGTATTTAAAAATTATACCTAGCATGATCTAATGAATTGAACCATCCATAAAAATCCCATTTATACGTTGGAGGATGAGCTATCAAATCAGCAGCTCTTACCGAGCTATCTAAAGCATAGATCAAGGCACTAATGCCTCCGGCAGTTACTCCTAAGCATGTTAATAACTGTAATTAAAAATGTTACAAATAGGTTTCGTCATTTTTTTTATAACATAGTTTGTATAATATTGTCACATATTATACAACATTGTTGTATATTGAAAATATAGGTAAAACTGTAGTCCTAACTTACTAATATATGCAGTTTGAACGAACGCAAAATTGATTTTGATATTAAAGGGATTGGATATGGTTGGGATATCTCTTCAACCAAGCTAAATTAAGTTTACATACCACTTTCCGACTCCTAGGCCATTCTTTTATAGTGGAAAAATTACTGGTCTGCAAAAACAAAATTTAAAGTTTAAGTGTAAAAAGTTTAACATATTCTACAATGGGAAGAAAACTATTTGCAATGTTACTCTATACATATCTTTCATATTTCTATTTTCTTCTTTCCTTCATATACAGTTAATTTGATTTTACTATAATTATTTAAAAAATGTTTAAATATACATCTCTTTTAATTATTTACAAAAATATATATATATTTCTTATTTATATACCATTAAAAATAATTGTCATAAAATATTCACAAAAGATATATCTTTTGTATATCAAATACAAATCGAACAATGTCTATCTAATGATTGAAGTTAAAGATTAATATATATATGCTCTTAGATTAATATATATTCTTATAAATCTTAATATGATATAATCAAGTGAAAAAGAATATACTCTCAAACTGTTGAGCACAAGAACATTCTTTAATCAATTCAACACTGACAATTGATGACAATTGATAGCATAATTGTCTACAATTAGGCGATAAAATTCATGCATACAAATTTGTTGTGACAGCGCTCGCAAACAATGTACAGTCACTTGTGCCACTGGCCGCGAGCAATGCATTAGTAACGCATGTTTGATATCATGGCAGCATCCCGGATTTTCTCGGTATCGTTCACTATTACATAACATCTGTTGAAGTGCCGTCGAAATTGTTACCGCGTTGACGTCGTGTGCCTTCAGGCCCTTCGCCGGCGTCCCGACGTGCGAGAACGTTCCGCAGGGAACGATATTGCCGAGAAAGGAGTGACATTAGCAGCCGACAGTACTGTGCCCTCAACGCGAGGCCGCGGGTCAATATTGGTTAACATCAAGTATGTTGACATGAACGCCGCGATGCTGCGAGGATTTTCGCAAGGAAACGCATGTAGTTATTTAGAACCGTCGAATATTCGCGTTTATTTACTTACCTGGCCGATCAACGTGCCATAATTCGGTTTTAGAAGACCCGATTTACAAATCCGACCTAACGTCGCCGCCATGTTGGACATAGGTGCAATGCGTGAGGGTTATGCTAGTCAGTGTCGGTCCACTGGACGTTGATGGACGGTTGACGAAGAATTAGTCTCGTGACTGTTGCAAAAATCCTCCCGTGATTATTCCGATTTTTCGGAACGGTCGCGAGGGCCTGAGAGAGAGGTTAAAATATCAGTGGAGAGAACACCTTGAAAACGACTTCAGTCGGCGCCGTCGGCGGACCTGCGCAGGCTCGCCAACATTGCAACATGAACGATCACGCGCTTAAACTTGAATAGGTACGATAATGTGAGTTTATAATAATTTACAAGACAAAATTTTTATGTTTAAATTCATATGTATGTAATTTTTTATTATATTTACGTTATCATATTAAATTATATTTTTTTATATTATATTTATTATTACACTACACTAAATTAGTGTACATTTAAAAAAGGGTTACTTTATATAAAGTATATCTATAAAACTACTTATTGGACACAATTTTGCTAAAGGAAAAAGTTGTTTGTTTTTGCATAAAGTATCACGTCTTGTACTTCGAATGCGGGAATTTTGAATCACCCTGTATAAAGTATATCTATAATTATCAACTTTAATAATGAAATCATATATGTATATTCTGTTAAATAACGATATCATTATTGAATATTTAATTGTTCAAAATATCTCGATTTAACTTACCGATATATATAGTAGGTAGTTTATTTTTTCTATTTCTTGACCTTTTATGCTCGAATTTATTGATGCCAGAATTGATAGTGCAGACGCATACTAAAATATTAACTGTTATTTATATCATTGAGAGAGTATTAAAAGATAATTTTACGAGAGTTTTTTTTTAATTTAACTCCAATATGGATCTGGATCGTTTATATAAAGTCATATTAATTTTATAATTTATTACCCAAATGTGTCTCGTGTAAATATTACACGGCGCAATGGTATTGCATGGTATACACAATGGTATTGCATGGTATGCGTAATGGTATACACAATGGTATACACAATGGTATTGCGTGGTATGCGCAATGGTATACACATTATACATATCATGAAGATTTATTAATGCCTGTATTCATAATCAGGCCTTATATTTAAGGCTTCCTTAAGTTGATCTTTAAATGCTCTACGAATTATTTTATTGGCTACTGAGCATCTAAAGATAAATTTAAGGAAGCCTTAAATATAAGGCCCGATTATGAATACGGACATTAATAAATCTTCATGATTTATTATTATCTATGTATAATATGTAATATATGATATATTCCTACGAATTACATATAGGTATTGACTAATGATTGAAAATACGGTTTTATAGAAATATGCAATACCATTGCACCGTGTAATATTTACATGAGACACATTTGGGTAATAAATATAAGGTCTGACTGAATATACGGACATAAAGCCCTGCTTACGATAGAAGGAATAAGGGATTAGAAATAAAGAATAAACGATTTCAACTTATCAGAAATGACCATGTATTCCGATATATCCGATTTCTGATAGATTTAAATCGTTTATTTTTTATTTATAATTCCTTATTCCTTCTATTGTACGCAGAGCCTAAGATTCAAGCATAATAAAAAGAATAAGGAATAAAGAACAAAGAGTAACAGATCTTACCTATCAGACACTGGATACATCGGAATACGCAGTTTCTGATAAGTTGAAATCTGTTACTTATACCTTGTTGCTTATTCTTTTCATTGTATCTGAGTTCTTATATCATTGCAGGCTAATCGGATGATTGAAACAGTTGCTAATGTCAGTAATTATCAATAATTATTCCTGGGTCCGACACAGTCATTAAGAGTTACATAATAGGGGCCTGATATCTTTGGATGTATCTCATCTATCGTACAAATTTTTCAAACATATCGATATATTGGTTCAAAATTAAAAAAGTTCTCCAATCTCCATAAATTCTCTACCTTGCAGCTCGTCGTTTAAGTATCCTTAAAAAATTTATCGTACAAATGGAATGATACCCTTTATTGTATACACACTCCTGCGAAGCGTCGGAAATATTTTCGCCATTTGAGGATAACCCCGGAGCCTGGAGGGCGCGCGCGAGCATTCGGGCGCATGCGCCGCGCGTCGTTGGCACTCTTGGCAAGTAGTCCGCCGCCGACCATTGCTGTCAGCTGGACGATTCCGTCAGATGGTGTCGTGAATCCCGTAAAATCACATCGATCGGAGCGCGACGGAGTCAGAGTCAAGATGAGCGGTGGTATGCCAGAGCTGGGCTCGAAGATCAGCTTGATCTCGAAGGCGGATATTCGTTATGAGGGTCGTTTGTTCACCGTCGATCCACAGGAGTGCACGATCGCCCTGGCTAACGGTGAGTAGCACGGCGGAAATCCAAGATGGACTCCCGCCGCATCGCGTATCCACCGTGCCGTCTCGCCGCCGCTACTGCCGCCACTATCGCCGCCGAGATTCTCGTATCCTACGTTCCTCCCGTTGTCCACTCCGCGAGATCGTCCGCCCGACCGACCGGCTGGAGTCCCCGTGACCGGCGGCAACGTCGCCGAGTCTCCCTGTTTTCGTGTCACTGGGCGCGGGAACCTTTACATGATTCATTACGTTCGCGTTGTCGCGAACAAACGTAGAGGTCATATCTCCGTAACTCCGTGGAAAGTTGCTCCGGAAAGCTGCTTCGAAATGCATGAATTCAGAGTACCATCCGAACTGTCTGTCGATGCCGTCCCGCCGGCTTCATGTTCCGCCGACCGCGTCGTTCAGTCGCGTACCGACGCATGGAGAATCTTTGGAGAAAGTCGCCGACACCCGCGATTCGGTGGCATCGCGCGTTGCAAAACAACCGGGGTCGCGGCGACCTGTAATCCCATCACAACGTATGTTTCTCAAATAGTCGATATCGGAGCCGCATTAGCCCTAATTCCGTTGAGACGATCCATCAATCACGCCAATGCGTCGCGTTTTGATCCGCACATTTGGCGCAAACGCCAAGTGCCGGAACTGTTACGGATCGCTTGATCTACGTGAGATTATGTTGCGGTTTCGCGGTTAGCAATCATCGAAATTTTACCGGACGAAAGTCATCCTAAACCGTTGAAATTTTCACGATGTTAGTAGTAGGTTATCGATATATAGTAGTAGATAAATCTGGCAATTCCAAAATTCTAATATGGACTTTAACAAATACAGTTCGTGTCGTATAATACTTTACGGGTATTTTAAGAACTTAAGTGATTATCTGCTACGTTGTATTGATGCTGAGGATGTAATTTTGAATTTAGGTTTGGTATGTATAACGTTTGTATGGAATGTTTGTCTCTTTCTTCTGTTGAATGTTTACATGTCCTTGTCTCCTTGTCCCCTTGGTTTTGCTGAATAGATAATGACTTTAGAGAATATTTCAGTTAGGAATAAATATTATTCTTGGAAATGTACTACTGGAGTCTCATATCAAAGAAACATACAAATATAAAATTCCTCTTTCCATAATATTAATTAATGTGTTTAAAAAAATAGATACCGCACAAATTTATTTTCTACAATAAATAAATCCAACCTAAATATTAGTACTGTTAATATAAAGAATTTGAATACTAGGTGTCTATTTTTTTTATCTATTTTATTTTAAGAGTATTAATAAACAAATAAAGATCTATTTAATTAAAACTTATTTAATAATAAAGATTTCATTAATTTAATAGAAAATTGTAATGGTGAATCTTTAATTACAACAGTTTGAAATAACTAATTTGTTACTTTTGTAGTGCGTTCCTTTGGCACGGAAGATCGAGAAACTCAACTTCCTGTGGCACCACAAAATCAAGTATATGAGTACATTCTGTTTCGCGGATCAGACATCAAAGACATCAGAGTCGTCAACAATGTTAGTTCTATCCCCAACGATCCGGCTATCGTGCAGGTAATTATTAAATTTGTATATTCTTTGTACTAGAGTGTTTTAAATTTAACAGAGAGAATGTAAATATAATTAATAAGATCTAAAAACGAAATCAATTATAATATGTTAAATATTGATGAATTTTAGCTGATTTTGATTATCATTGTTCGTAGATGACGGTGCAGCCATCTATGGGTCAGCAGTCGTATCAACCACAGCCTAGCTATGCTCATCCGATGATGGGCCAGATGGGCCCGATGGGTGGTCAATACGGAGCCCCCTATGGTATGGGTATGGGAGCCATGGGCCCGGTAATGGGAATGCCAACTGCAGCTAGAGATCCTCGTGGAGCAATGAATAAACAGCCAAGTGAGTTGAGCTTGGGCTCCGCTGAACCCAATGCCATCTCTATCCCAAACTCACTGCCAACGGCCAATATCGACCCATTACCAAAAGATCAATCTCTGGAAGATGGTAACTGTTTTTGCTATGAAATATCCCTTGCCTTGCTGGCATGCTTGTTGCTGCTCCTGTTTTGGTAATGCTTTTCTCTATTGCGTTTCACGCTCTCAGAAAATGGCATAAATTGTTATGCATTCTGGAATACGTAATAATATATTTTGGTATCTTTTTAAATATATTATTTATAATTAACATTATAATAACAAATTTGGAATTATTCTATTAACAAAAATCTACTTACTGTCTTTTTTGCACACTTACGTACATTTTTAATATCTTGCAATCTTCATGCTTTGCTTATATGCCTTCTATATATATATATATATATATATATATATATATATATGCATTTTATTTTTGTAAATTTTGAAAAATCTTAATAAAAAATATACATATATTTATTAACATTTTTAATCTGTATGTATACAATTTGGTTTTACGTTTCTCTTTTCTAATATCGATAGAAAATATTTTTGCATCTGCATGCTTTTCTCAATTTTATTTCATTTACGCTTAAATTATAATGTAACAAAATAGCAATTACAGTAATAATAAACAATAATAATTGTTTATAAAAATCCTCTAGAGATTTATTTTACATTAGACACGCGAAACTTTTGTAGAAGTTAGTAGCAGTCTTTCATTTCGAACTTTGGGAATGAAAAGTTTGTCTTTATTTTCTTATACTAAAGTTTCGTGTTGGACTAGAAATGCTTGCAATTTTGGTCGGCTATTTGGTCTCCATAGGTTAATAAAAATGTATTTATTATGTGACACATTCACATGTTGCAATAATAGGTGTACTAGACCTCATCAGTGGTGGTTCCCGTTCTACCACTCCTACATCATCCTTATTGACAAGGAAAAGTCCAACTATGGATCAAGGTATTCAGGTAGGACACGAACAACAGCAGCAAGGCAATAACATTGGCAAATTGAATGACAAGACAAATATCAGGACCGTCCAACCGCCTCGTCGAGACCATGATAGGTATTTCATTTAGGAAATTAATTTTCTTGTTATAAATGAAATCATAATAATTTTATGCATATAATAGTTTTATCTTCTAAAATTCTGATATTAAAAATACAATCGTACTTCACAATTTTTTATTTGCTTTATTTGTTAGATTTTTTGTTTATACAAACATAAAACGATTCTACATAGGTTTATATTATTGTTATTTGTTAAGCTGATGATATAGCTTCATAAAATTTTGATAAATAGTTTCTTTATTATGTTTAGCCACGGAGGTACCAAAAACAACGCGGGTATGTCTCATCAATATAATGATACGAAGAGGGACATGAAACAAGATGGCCAAAATCAAGGTCATATGCAGGGTGGTCGAGGCAACCGTGGTGGTTGGGTAAACCGCGGCAACATGAGAGGTCGAGGAGGCCGAGGAGGTCGAGGACGTGGTGGTTTCCGTACAAATCAAGCGAACAACTTGGATGGTATCAAGCCTAAGATGAAATTTGATAACGACTACGATTTCGAACAAGCTAATACTCAGTTCGAAGAATTGAGGTGAGCATAAACGTTCGCCATGAACACTGATGATTGATTCTGCATGGTTACGTGCCGGATTCATTTCAAGTAACTGTTGAAATGACCAATGTGGAGACCGTGCAAAAGTAAAGTTCAATGCGAATTTAAAGCAATCGTAATTTCAACAAATACGAATCGCTTACGCATCGCATTAACATTGTTTTATAAAATTATGTTTCAATGATTTAATTTATATGTTAATGTAACACATTTATGTCATATCGTAGGTCGCAATTGGCGAAAACGAAGATCGATGGTACTGACAATGAGAAGAAAGACGACAGTGGAAACGAGACAGGTGCCGGTGAAGGTGAACCCGAGGAGGAACCGGAAATTGTTCACTACGATAAGTCGAAATCATTCTTTGATAATATTAGCTGTGAAGCTGTTGAAAGGAGTAAAGGGTAAGTTTTATCGAGAGAATATTTAATAAATATAATCACCGCGTATAAATTCACAGCATAGCCATGGTTTTTAATTTTTTTTTAATGAAAGAAAATTATTGAATTCTGTGAAATGTTTTATATATATGGTATAAATTTTTCCAGGCGATTCCAACGCACGGATTGGAGAACGGAACGAAAACTGAATTCAGAAACATTCGGTGTAGCTTCTACAAGACGTGGTACATTCCGCGGCCGTGGTTACTACGGTCGCGGAATGGGAGGCATGTTTAGAGGTAGTGGTGGCGGCAATAACTCTGGATTCCGCGGTGGCTATCGAGGTAGCAGGGGTGGTAATCGCAAACCTCCTAACCAACTACAGAATAACACAGGGAGTCAAAATCGCGCGACCAACGAACAGTCTGCCTCTCAATCGCAGGCAAAAATTATCTAAATAAAAAAAAATCTAATTTGTCACCGGTATGGCATGAAAGAGTAAAATAAGCTGGGGAGAGAATAAAGCGATGTGCTGCTATGTATAAGTATACACAACTATATAGATTAAGATTTTTACGATATGTGCTCTACGTTATGGACTGATTTGGGTTAGAATTTGGCAGTCGAATAACACAAAAGATACATACGGCCGGATTAAATGTAGATTATATTATATAACGGAACGCGTTTACAATCGCCAAACCGGTGGTTACGTGTTAGGTGACAAGAATCGCACATATGGACGTTGCTGGCGCATATGACTCTTTGCATCGATATTTTGCGACTAGATGATCGAAGAAGGTACTTTTAGAGACAAATTTTCTTACCGCTTAATCGACAATGATCACGATGAATTGGTGTTAAAAGACCAAAGAACGATCTGATCATAATTGACTTCACTTCCCCAACAAAAACATTTTATTATTTTAATAGAATGTTTTTGTTAGAGAAGTGAAGTCAATTATGATCAGATCGTTTCTTGGTCTTTTTTACATTAATACTTATTTGTGTGAATTCAGATGTCTAAATAATTAAGGAATGAAGTTACTCGTAAAAAAGCTAGTCATAAGTTTTACTTGAAATATGTCTGTTAACAAAATTCTTAATAGAGTAATCTGAAACCGCTTTATAAACAATAGTATATTTGTTTATAGTTAGGAAAAAAATTGTACAATTCAATCGTGATCATTCTTCAGTCGATTTTCTCAAGATTTGACTATGATTATGGAATGGCTTTATGATGATGGTGACTTGATAATACTTGTCGTTATGGAATAGCTGGTTTGTATCCGTATATCGGAAGTGAATGGCAATAGACGTGCATAAAAGTACTTTCTCGTCAAAGTATGTAAAAATCGATTGTATCTAATTGCATTTGTCGAGAATAGAAATATCGTGAGCTATATAGTACAAGATAAATCTGATAAAAATTATATTTTTTTCTTTTGTTTTGGTTTTTTTTGAGTGTACGCAGACAAAGTTTTTCGAGTCCTCGGCACGAAGTTCATATAAACTTATAATTTTATTAGGGTGGATGAATATAAGTGGGAAATAAGTGAAAGCCAGTTTATATGAAAATGTTTGTATTATTAAATTGTAATCTTATTGTCCGCCTACTCTTTCTTTGCAAGATCTGCATCTAGAATTATGAAAGATGTAAGTGTCAATCTTATTGTAAGTAACTAAGTTCTAAATCATGTTACATAATTGTCATCGTGTTTTGCAAATAAGGATTCCTCGATTGCTCTCATATGTATAAGAGTAACTTAATTAGTAAAATTATAAAATAGATATTTGCATTATAATCAGTAATTAATTATATCAGATATGAAATTTGTATGATACTCATTAAAAATAATTTTTTCAAAAACATTGTAATCTTAAATTAGTATTTTATCAATTTGTTTTTTTTTTTTTTTTGTTAACTCTGAAACTAGTATAATAACACTTATTCCAAGGAAAATTTGTATTCAATATACATGTATACAAGCAGAAAATATTTAAAATAATAATTTATTATTAAATGACAATATTCTATTACAATATTATATACAATAATGACTATACATGTATATTTAAATTGAAAGTAATTAATTTATTTTTTTCTCATAAAAATTTATCTAATCATTCCAATCTTGGAATAGCGCTTTATTAGTGTATAAATATAAATGGGATTCAAGTATGCACGGGTCATGCAAATTCGGAAACCTATAACAAAGATTTTCAAAGCGTTAAACGCATAAAAATAATTTATTCGTAATTTGATTATGATTAATTATTCACGCTCTCGAAGAATCCTTTTGAATGCACGAAGACGCTGTGGGTAGAATTGTGTTAAATGGCGATGCGAATAAGAATAAAAGCATGATAATATCCTTAAAAATATAAGACGTGGAAGAAACAGAATAATAACATTATTTGCGACTATTATTTTTCTATGGCTCTTACAGAGTCCCCAAACTCATACAAATATTATATATATGTATACACACACACACACACACACATAAACACACACATACATACGTACGCAACTTGAGATTTACATAACTGATAAGCAAATCTCCAATAGGTTATCAGAGAAAATGCAGAGTGAAGTAAAAGGAAGGACTACAAAATGAAATAAATAAATAGAAAAAAAGATATGGTAAATTTAACTTTTAAGTTTCATGCTCTGAGCATGTGAAAAATTTATGTACGCGAGAATGGATTTTTGTTTTGTACAGCGGATATATTGTGATTTCCGATGGTGAATAATATTGAAATGATGAAATAACACGTCTTCGTGTCATTTCCGATCTCCTACACACTACTTTTCCAACAATCGAACAAAACAATGTTTTCTTATTTCTTCTCAAAGTTGTAACGTCGAGAACTGTAAGGCGCGGATCGTCCTTCCCCGCCCTTTGACGAAATGCGCAAAATGTGAAAGATGACGGTTTAAATGCTAGATTACGCGAATTTTAAAGAGCGACTCGAGATATGAGAGATGCGTGTTGTGCAGTTTTCCAAAAAAGGAGATGTACTCAGATGTAAATAAAATTATATAACGTCTTTAATAGGACTCGAACATATGTTGTTGGTAAAACTATCGTGCGTATGGCGATACTAAAGTGTGCTGCGTATTACATGCGGTGTGATTAGAATGTATGTAAAAAGAAAAAAACGGCGTCTTCCATGCGCTATATCCAGTGTTTTAAATGCTTGATAAGCGACACAGTAAACTAAAATGATTTATTACACACCATATTGCAAACATAGATAACGGGTTCCGTTTGTTCGTAACTTGAATCTACTTTGTTTTCTTTTTTTTGCACATGGACTTCTCATGTCCGATATTTTTAAATAGCTCGAAAGTAATCGTCAACGCATTATTAACACATTAGAAATATAAATTCCCAGCATCAATATAATCGAAAGTCGCCATTTATAACGAATACGATTGTAGTTTGCAGCATATAATGAGTTATAATCTTAAAAGTTCAGTAGGAAACTTACATGAAAAATTTGAAGGTCTTATTTTCAGATTAGTTCATTTTTAAAAAATATTTATTATAAAATTTTTTTATCACAGGCATCTTCATACAATCTGGCGTTATTAATAAGAAATAAAAAAAAAAATGAACATGTATGCGTGTATTTAAGGAAATTATGATGGAAACGTGAACCAGCGAATACAGTTGGATGGCTAAGGAAAAAGAAAATATGCATGAAACTTTGTAATACAAAATTATCTACGGAGAATCTCGGGAATACTATTTCCCGCGAAGTATCGCTTCGGTTGCATCTCGTCTGTTCTGCACTTCCGGTTACACTGATCTACATGTGAAATATCTTCTAATACAAAGTCTCCGGATGACGTTCGCCACGTGGATCGAAGATTTTCAGCCCTAAACAGAGTGAGAGATCATGGTCGTGCGCTTGTCGATTATCAGGCGCAGCTCATCAGACCTGTCCTCGTACTGTCGCAGACTTCTCTTATCGCGCGACCTCCTGCGACCTTAGTATCAACGTGTGGGAAGTTATTCTTATAATACCGACGCAGAGTACGCGGATTCGGTACATAAACTTCGTAAGGCGCTTTGCCACTCTCGATAACCCAAATACTGCCAGACTCACCGATCCTCAATATCGTCATCAGGCCCTGCGCGACTATGTAAGGCCTGCAAAAACAAGATTAAATAGCAATGAGCCGTTGAGAAATTTATCTCTGCTGAATTGGCGGTTATATGTAAGCACCGGAAGAGATGTAACGTTTGCGTCAGGATCTACGAACTAAATTTTATGGAACTGATATTTTAACCCTTTATGATCACACTAGGGTCAAAATGAGCGTCCCAGAGCGCATTTAATTAATAATTTTTTTGAACGAAAACTGTGAATAACAACAATTAGTTAAATGCACTCTGGAATCGTTTTGACCCGGTTGATCATTACGGAACTTTTAAGAAGTGTTCCAACCAGAACCACGAAAATCTAATCTTCACTAGAAGTTGTGTCCCATTAAAAAAAATTGATAAATAATTTATTTGTAATTACAAGGGGTGCTCAGAAAGTAATATGCCCTAAATTTTTCAAACTTCAAATTTGCAACATATAAAATTTCACTTTTCTACTTTTATTATCGGATGAGGAAAAAAATGTGGGGCATTACTTTCTGAGCAACCATCGTATTTATTATGAAATTTATTGAAGGAGCAAAAGATTTATATTATAATTTAATTTTACAGCAGGAACGTTATTATGTTTTATTATTATCCAGCTTGCACTGGTTAATTTATCTGACTGTTTTGTGTTTATGACATAAGAGACAATTATTTTAATAATGACTCACGTTTGTATCGGAAACTGTTCAAGATTCTTAACGAAATCTGCCTTCATAACTCTGGAAAGAAGTTTATTAGGGCTATCTACTGTCAAGGCGGTCTCCGTCAGTCCTGGACACAAAGTTATCACGGTAACACCGGTCTTCTCATAGTGATAAGGATCCTGTTGCAGAGTAAACGTGATTATGAAAACTTCGTATAATAATATATACATATAATAAGTAATAATAAAAATTAAATACTTCATTATTTTATAATCCACAAGATAACAATCTTGTAGAATATTGGAAAGTTTATAACTATACTTTTTGTTTGTAAGTAACTACTTTAGGATGATTGCTTGAATAATAAATGGACTTAACTGCGTTCAATTCTGTATAATTACCGATAGAGACTGCGATAGACCGATGACAGCGTGCTTCGTGGCAGTGTAAACCGGAAGTTGAGCTGTGTTTCGAATATCCACATGCTGGCTCACGTTTACCAAGATACCACCGTGACCGCCCGTATCTCTGCTCATATATTGTACAGCTAGCATCGCGGTGCTGACCATGCCTCCCTAATATTGATATACCATATTAGGATCTACTCTTTATTTTTATTATTACAGGTATTACACCTTATAGAAATCTAAGAGAGCATTTTATACTATAGGTACTGGCTCTAACCATATGCCGTAATCTGTAAAAATTGACTAATCATAGTTGAGTATTTCCTGACATTCGACTGTAACAGAAGAATACTCGACTATGATTAGTCAATTCTTATACAGATTACGGCTACGACCATTATAAGTGCTCCCTAATGCTTACTGGTAAACTTGGTACTGAAAGATAGCAATTATTTATTTTAAGTATTAAAAGTACTGTTGTTCAGTACTTTCAGTACTCCAAATAAATAATTAATTACTGTATTTCAGTAATAAATTGGTCAGTATTAGATTTCTATAAGAGTACTTATTAATGATATTTATTTTCCCCAATCTTTTTATATATTCTTATATGCAATCTGGTAAAATCATCTTATGACACAAAAATCACGAAATTATTTGAAATATACAATATATTCGAGGTAAGAAAAACATTGTAAAAGTTTTAAGAGAGAAAACATCGCAGAATAAAGAAATCATAAAATTAGGAAATCATTGGTAAAGTTATTAATAAATCAATAAATTGTTATTAACGATAACACACAACGTTAACCGAGATTTCCTTCTCCCGTCTTCGTTCATTAATTATTAATAAATCAATAAATCCTTCTCCCATCTTTGTTCATTAATTATTAATAAATCAATAAATTGTTATCAACGATAACTCACAATGTTAACCGAGATTTCCTTCTCCCATCTTCGTTCATCTAAGACGCCAGCGTTATTTATCACGATGTCAATGTTTCCTAATAGCGTTGACGCTTCTTCAAAAGCTTCTATAAATTGATATAAATAAAAATAAGATATTCTACAAAGTTCAACGATAGTAACATATATCTACGCAATTTGAAAATCTTGCTTCATATTTACCAGTCACATGTTTGTGATTAGACACGTCGGTATGTATGAAGTGTACTTTCTTCTCGCCGCAAGATTTTTCAACACCGAGCTCAATTCGTTTGCCGGTTTCAGCATCAATATCCAATATAATTATTTTCTGTAACAAATATAAAATAAATTTAAATATAATAGTGCCGAGATGATATTAATACTTAATAAATATTGTAGAACAGCTAATGCCATTCTATGAATTTAGTAGACTTAGGGACAGCAATTACATATATTTTATACCTAACAGGAGAGAGATAAATAATTTAATCTGTAGAATAATATTAATTCAATTAAAAGATGTTATAAAAGAGTATGTTTTTTTAATTATTAGAAATGTTACATAAATTTTGATAAAAGAACTTTTTATATAATTATACATTGATATTATAAAATTTGAGGCTTATTTAAATAATAGACTTTTTCTAAATGTATGTCGTTTATAGATTTATAAAGAATTATAAATTATTTATGTAATGCTGATTTATGTAGATTTCCTGCAAATTTTTTGAATTTTTATACTGCAAATTATTATCTTAATTATTAAACATACCTTTGCTCCATGCTTTAAAAAGTGATTAAGAAAGGCGTAGCCCAATCCTGCTGCACCGCCAGTTATTAGAACATTTTTTCCAGAAACAATGCAATTAATAGCTTCTATCTCTTTTGCCCTTTCGGATGCTGAAGAACGACGGCGAACGATTCTCAAACTTGGTTCTATAATATAAAACTTGTTTTATAAAAGAAGGAAAGCTCTTTGTCAGAAAAACTCGTAATATTAAAATACATGTTATTAATATTACAATTTTTTTGATAAAGTAAATTCTCATTATTTGAATAATGAGAATTATTTCGCTCCACGCTCTATAAAAAAGAGCCTTACATAATAATTTATCTTAGGAAATAAAATTATAAAATTATAAAAACATTATTGTTTACAAAATTATTAATATAATTATTAAAATTATAATTTATAAAAATAAAATAATCGAAATTATTTTTTATATTACACATTTTTTATGACAAAACATATTGATAGACACATATTTTTCTCGATGAAAGCAGACTTACCTACTGTATTCTCCATGAATGAAATTGCTTTAGATATTTGGATATGTGAAGAGATGAACTAATTTCCGGTTTAAGTTCTTAGACGTAAAGCCGAAGAATCGGGAGCTTGTGCTGGTAATATGTATGTTTCGACTGAACTTCGAGACCATTCGAATGGTATTTATATACGATAAGCAGCGATGTGGGATTTCGCGATACTGCGACTTAAGTTTCCATCATGGCGGGGATGTCTCAGAGGGTGGACTTCGGGCTGTAGATTACGTAGACAGCAGATATATAGATCGGACAATCATGATAAAAAAGAAGTTTTTGAATTTCCTCTTTAAAACTCGAACATTGTCGAAGGTGTTTGAAATCGAAAGATGTCGCATTTTATTGAACATATATATATATTTATACTAGACTCAATGGATTAAAATACCATTAAATTTGTTAGACTGATATAATTCAGCTTTTTTACCAAGTTTTTTTTTAGTTTGTAAGACACGTTAGATATATAATTATGTGTATAATTGCTGAAGAAGAGAGAGATACAAGAAAGTTATAATGATTATTTATTTCTTCACATCATTTTGTTCTTGATTGTCAAATTGTACACATTATTTTTCCACTTCTTGTATTTGCTGAGCAACCTATTGTTAACACAGGTATTTTATTTTACACTTTATAAATTTAATTTTTTTCGTCTTTAATTTTAACTTTTGATTTATACTTACAATAGAATCAGGAAATTCTGTGCGCAATAAATTTCATCGCCGATACGCTTTACGACTTACTGATGTACTTTTTACTTTTTTGACTACAATTATAACTTGCTGCGATTCTGCGCCTTTGAAATGATTGAAGATGCTTTTATAAAAATTTTCTTCACCAAGAACTTTTAATTTGCGTTGACGAGTTTATATATTTATGGACTTTTGATTCTTGCGTATTTTTATAATTATTTATGTTCTCTTTTGAGGTTTTTTGTATTACTGAGGATGGTCTAATTGAGACCGAAACGTCTATATGTAATTTTAATTATTAAATATATATTTATTCGCGACTAATATCCTGCGTTCGTAGTTGTATGCCTTTTATCCAATTCTTGTTGATTATTTATTGATGAATAATTTGTACTGGGCTTGATCATTATTATTGTTGAACTTCAAGTTTTCGATTTAAAGAAAACAGATGTCAAAACTAAATTATGATATTAGTAATACAAAAAGCGGCAACACTGCAGAAGAATATTGTTAAATAAATGATTTATTTAACAAGATTGATGAATTATTTAACAAATACTTTTGATAACAATAATTTTTAAGATTTTTTTATCTATTGCGGTCCTCTTATTTTTTCATTGCCTTTTCTTATTTTCCCTCTCACTAGACTGATCAGTCGCGTCTCGTCATTCTATTTTCTCAGTGTTCCTGATAGCGCCTTACCCTAATTAACCCCTTCCGCAGAGGCTAATTAATCGCATCGTGGCAATGTGTTTTCTAGATACTGGATATACAGGACACAGACTGAGAGGCATTGAAGCGCGCTTTCTCTTTTACTTGAAGATAATAATAGTGTATTGTATCGCAGCGAATACTAGACTAAACAACTAGACCGTCAGTAGATCATTAATTAAGTAGGTAATTGCATCTTTAACAATGTTATTGCTTTTTACGTAATATTTACTATGTGACAATTTATTTTGTTAATACAATACACAATAAAAATCATTTTATATTTACGTAAAAAAATCGGTTTTTAACACAAATACAAGATGTTAAAACTTTTATATTAAATTTTCAATGTATATCCGAGTGTTCGTTTAATATAATGTGTGCATATTGTTGTATTATTTAAATAATTTGTGTTAAATTGACACTTAACACCAAATTTTTAGTGCTAAAATATTAAATAATTTAATTTATGAGCAATTGAACAAATAACATGAAAATAATTTAAAAGTTTAAAGTTTAAGATAAATAAATCAAATGTAAATTTAACATATTACAAATGTTAATTTTATTGAAAAATAATTTTACAATTTGTTTCAAAATATTATATTTTTGTATTAATTTTTTACATAGATAATATCTGTGTCACTTTTTAACACATTTATCTTGTGTTAAATTATCATAAAAATTTGAGTAGATTTTGAATATATATCAAAAATTTAACAAGTTTTTCAATTGTGTGTATAAATACGCACATCATAGAATATATAAGAAATGTTAAATGCTTTTTATTTATTTTACATAATATGTACTTATTTTTTTAAAAATAAATATATTATATTGCTTATTTATAAAGACATGTTTATAAAGTCATGTTTAAAATGGAGCTACGCAAGATATATTGAAAGTGATCAAAGTGCGTTTGACAAGCGAATGCGCGTGCGAGCGAAATGAAAAGTTATTAAAACGCACAATTCAGCTATGTATCTTTTTAAAGTTTCCTGCAAAAATATTTGTTTTCCATATTTGATTTTACCTCACCGGGCCATTTCGGTTAATAGAAATTTATGATAGTCGCGGGGGACGGAACTGCGGCTGGTGGCTCGTAGATTATTTGCAGTGCCGTACAAGGGGAAGAAATATTTTTGCCCTTTTATGTTCCTGATGTATCGTGCTTCAGCTTCCAGACGATGTACTTATGTATTTACATTACTCTCAAATTAATTTTTAATGCATTTTTGTTTTCACTCTCTTACAGAAATTCAATGTATACTGGTTAATTTAATACTGAAAATTATTTATTTTGAGTATTAAAAGCACTAAGCAAAAATGCTTTTATTATTTAAAATAAGTAGTTAATCATTAATTTTCACAGTATTAAATTTCTATAAGGATTGCGCTTCCGTTCGTTTTAATTAAACTCTTTTTATGTTACAATTTCTTTTTTTTCTTCGAGGTCTAAGTATACACGTGTTGCATTCACATTTTAAATGCAGAAAACGCAGTAAAACGCATCAATAAAAAAGAAATAAATTTAAAACGCGAACGATTGCACTTAAATGTGTTTGTATATCTTTACGAATTGATACGAGCGGAAACGCATACTTGGCTAGAAATTTAAAGAACACTAGCGCACGACATTTGACGTAAGTGGTACTTTGTGTACGTGTGTGTATAATATTTACAAAATAAAATAATGATTGACACCAGATCAAACTTAAAGGCGTGGAACTATCGTTCCGGGTACTCGACGGTCATTGGATGATATAACTTTTGTTAAAAGTCTGGGCGCTCTCGCGTAATTGTAGTTGTAACGAGCAATACGATAAATTGTTATCGGTGTCATTATCATTGGCAGGCCTATCATAAGTCAACCCTAATCAAATGACCTTATACCGTGACTTCATCGTAGGAAATTTACATTTTTCCTTTTCGAGAATTCACGATTAAAATTTACAAAAATCACTAAAGTCATTTACGACGAATTGTCGTATTAGTCGTTATCTAATCTTTATATTATTATAAATTTTTATATTTCTATTAAATTTTATATTTTTTATGAATAATATAGTAGAATGTAATTATAAATGAAAGAGAACATGTGATATATTTATATACATATATTATAAAATATTATACATGTAAATACAAGATTATTATAAATTTATCGTGAATTCCTTGACAAATCTGTTAAATATAGATAAACTATCAATCTAAAAATGACAAAAGTAGATAACGCAAGAGAAGAAGAGACCGAAAACTTTACATTTTATTTTTTTTTAATTTTTGCGGTTATTTGCAAATTATGCGGGACGCTTATCAGTCGCTCGTGGCGTTGGCAAACTTTAGAAACAACGTACTTGGTACAGTCGTGTGGCACAAAACGTTGATAAGAGCCTGACGTGCGCACAGCTCGTGCTCACTGCACTTATCAATAGAAAAAGCGCACTTAACGTCTGATCGGCGTCGCGCCGACGATAAATTAGCCGAGGGACAGCGCATGTCCGCTTCGAGTCGATACCATAACCGATACGAACTGGTTCCGATCGAACTTTACTCGGAATCGAGAAGGAAAGTAATTTCTTTTGTGGTTTTTACTTATAGTTATCGTACTACGCTGCACGCCGCGAGAACGCGAGATTCACGCCTGTGTGAGTATTTTGCATCCGTTGCGGCGATTCAGAGCGGTTCATAAATATACGCATGTCTGTAAAAGATTACAGTCTCCGCGTACCAAACAGTTAATAATTGGTTCAAATGATCACTGATTTGTGAGATATTTTTTTACTATAACTAACGTCGTTGTTAAAATGTGATTTCCTGTATTCTTTATATGCCGCAGTGCAGCTTTAGTTTGCGTGATCTGAAGAAATATAATATGTATTCATTATTTTTTAAATATTATTTTATCGATATATAATGTTATAAATATATAATTAAAAGAAATTGTTTTCGAGTTTTTAGAACTTATAACTTGTTAAAATAGTGCGATACTGTCTTATCGATAAAAGTACGATTAAACTCTGAGATTAGTTTATAGCTTTTATTATTATTTTTTAATATTTTTGTCAAACTGTCTACATGTAAATTATCGCCTTGTAACGATAGCAATTATTGCTTGCTTCTTCCACAAACGTACGAATTAAAACGATTATAAGACAATTTAAGAGAGGAATAGAGCATCATTTAGATGCATAAGAATATATATTTCGGTAATACAAGCCACGAAAGTTAAGAAATTTCTATATTCATCAAGATTTTATATATATGTTCAAGAAAGAAAAAAGTTTTAAATCGCAAAATCCGTATATACTTTTGTAGATAATTTAGTATAAAAGATATTGTCAAGATTTCAAGTGAATTGAATAAAAATTGTTAAAGTTATGTTGCTAGTCAATTTGAAACAAGTAATTTCGAGAAAAAGGCGTTGGTAGTTTTGTTTTACGACATTTTATATATAAGTACTGCCGAGAGTGCCGATCGAGTATACTAAGTATACTGAAATTTATACTTCGTCGATAAATGATTTCTTTAGGTACTTTATGAATTCAAACGCTTTGTGTCGCTACGAATCATTCTGAAACGCTCGATGACACTGTGACATGCTTCACAAAAGACTTCATTTTAAAAGTTGTGTTCTATATTGAAATTAATTGTATCTTTTAGGATTATAAAGTATCGTTAAGATAAAAATATAATATTTTTGATTTTTTTAATCCTTCGGGATAGTTATAACTCTCTAAGACACTTTGTTTAGCTTATTTATATATTTGATAAAATAAATTATAAAAAGCAATTTAAATTGATGAATTTTTTCACATTTTATTCGAGATATTAAAAAGTTATTTTTAAATCTCTAGTTATCCAATAAAGTAAAAAATTTAATTATACATTTAATATTAATCCATTTAACCAACAGATTTAGTGTATTCTTAATATCATTCATTTATAAAATTAAAATAAACTATTTATTATAAATATTGTTATGCTTTATACTCATGTTTATTTCTTTTAAAAAAGGCTTTAATATCTATTTAACAATAAACACACTATTTATTAACAAAAATCTATTAAAAACTTATTACAGATTTCACATCACAATTATTACAATTTTTATTAATCAAAAACAGATTTTATTTAACAAAATATTTTTTGTAAAAAGGAGCATTTAACTTGATAATATTATTTGTTGTATAGTAAATTATAACAATATTTAATCTGCGATCAATTTCATATTAGCAGCTAGTTTTGTGCATCGACTTCAGTTTTTTGCGGCAAAGTATCGGGAAGCTGCACCTCAAAAACCGGTTTTCCATCCTCGCTAATCCACACGCTGCCGTTCTGTGCGCATCGAATTACGTATATCAATCCATGAGCAACGCTCTCCACCCTGACAACATATTTATCTTTTGTATTTTATGTACATTTTTATTAGAGTGCGTCAATTATAAATTAGCGTCAGTCTTACCCCTGATGTCGATCATTCTGCAAACTATTAACGTTTGAAATACCCTCTGATACATCTTCTGGAATGTCGGTCAAACCGGGACACAGAACAATTACTTTTACATTAGTTCTTTCGTAATGATAAGGTTGCTGTAAAGAAAAAATATCTGATTAAACTTTTTATAGGCCTTTATATATTTTATGTAAAATGATTTTTAAAATATATATGAAATATCCTTTTTATATGCTTTATCCATTATTGTAGTCAAATTTTAATTGCTTATTGCTACAACAACATAACTTAAAATTTAATGTTTTTCTTTCTCATTTCCCCTTAAAGTCATCTTTACAAGAATTACAAAAATTCAGAAAATAGCGTCCACGTACACATTTTATCATATCTAATAAGATAAAATTATCATCAAATTTCAAAGTTTGAAAAACAAGTTTACAATACAAATTTGTTGCCAAGAAAGAAAGAAAAAGAATTGTTTAATCATTCCTAAAATTAGTCATAGTCTTCAAAAAAAGATCTCGCAGATTTCTTATAAAAAAAGAAACCTTGCTCGGTTTCGAGATATTTTGTAGTTTTTATGATTCTCTAAACAAATGTCTCCATTGACGCAAACACAAAAAAATCAAACGATAAAAAAACGTGAAATTCTAAAGTCACTTTGTTATTCATTATAATTGTCATAAATTTGATTATACATTATATTTTTCAATGTAAATATACTTACCGCAAAGGAACGGCTGAAACTAACCACGGCATGTTTTGTAGCAGAATATACTGGAAGCTGAGATACAGCTCGTAATCCGGCAATAGACGAAATATTTACGATAATACCACCCTTGCCACCAGAATCCTTTCGCATTTGTTGAATCCCCAGAAGAGTCCCACGAATCACAGCTGTCTGCAATATCGAAATTAATATTTTGGAACTTTATTTAATCTAAAATTCCCTTATCATACAATTTTATTTTCAATTTAGACACAGTTAGCTAAATTCATGCACGCGCTTACATGTAATATTTTTTAATACAATTTTTTATAGTTACATGTAAAATAACTTGTTACCAGAAAATATTTAAAAGCTTTCGGTGATATTTGTGACCAATATATTTCCTTACAAGATCAATATAATTACACAAAGTTGAAACAAGAAGGGAATAAAACTTACGACATTAACATCAATAGCTTTGGAAAAGTTAGTTTCATTTATTACGCCTGCATTATTTATTAAAATATCCAGTCCACCGAGAATGCTGATTGCCTCTTTCAACTTGGCTGCAACAATTAATAGTTTCAGTTTTGAACAAATTCAACAAATATTCCCTACATGCAAAAGTTGTAAATTAAATCAACTTTTGCAGTTTATGTAAGCAATGTTTGAGTTTGCTTATTATAGTGTGTGCATTTGTAAAATACAAATTAATAACATGAAAGAAACTTATGTTTACTGTCAAATTCGGAATTATTTGTTACATCGCAGCGAAGAAATATAGCTCGTTTGCGGCCAAACTCATTGTTTAAACTCTCTACAGCTTGTTCTCCAATCCATTGCTTTATATCGATCATAACTATCATCTGAAATATTAGTAACCATTCTATTAATTTTTACAATAAAACACCGATGAGTTTAACGAATATTTTTGAGAGAAGACTATAATATTTTATTACATAATGGTTACAACTAATATATTTATATGTATATGAATGTTGCACAACATTATATTAAATTACATACCAAAGCACCATTTCGCAGCAGCTCTCTACTAAATGCCAAACCTACATCACTTGCTGCTCCAGTTATTATAACTCGTTTATCTTTGATCTGCATTACTCCACTAATTTTCCAGCAAACAATCCCTTTCGTGTATATTTCTTTACTTATGAAAGTTCTAAAACACGTCAATAAATGAATTTCCGTTTGCAAATTTTATATTTTTACAATAAAACAGTTAACTGCACAAAATCAAGATGTTTCTTTATCGATGAGACCACCAGCTGCGACGCGAGTCTTTAGCCAGTCCGAGAACCGCCTTGAACCAATATGGAAGAAGTCACTGTTTTCGTTCGGCAATCTTCGACCTCGCGATCTGCATGACGTTCAATTCGTCAGGGTCCCTCTTCGTACGAGATTCGTTATCCATGAGACGGCGCTGTGAACATCTTCATCTCCTCATTGTGTGGTATGTGTAGTTTTAAGTTCAGTGGCATTCGAGAAAATTCGAAACATTCATTAGTGAAGTAAAATCACAAGTTAAACTTTGTATAAATTTTTATAAAAAAGAAACGCACACTTAAAGGTTAAAACTTTAGTGATCAAAATGTTTTAAACTATATGCTACGCATTTTGTATTAATTTTTTTTATGTATATGACGTACTCGTAAAAATAAGTAGATGTTTATATAATAATTAAATTAAACATTCATAATAATGAAATAAATAAATGATAGAAATTGCATATATATCGCTTCCCAGAAAACGATTGCACACAAAGACGAAGTCCACATTAAAATTATAGTGAAATTTTTAATCAACGACTGTAATCTAGAAAGGCCATCTAGCGCAACGCATAAGTTTATATTAATAACTAACAAGGGAACTTTGTCAACTCGGAAATTCTGATTTTAATGTGACTCTGCATTCATACACGGAGAGAATTTTCTCTTAAAATTTAGTCTGAAAATCATGATAATAGTGGGATAACATAATATTTCAAAGAATTGTATATGAGTTTCTTTAATTTACTAATATGTGTCTTAATAAGATATGTAATATATTTTATTAATTTTACTAAAGGGTATAGTAAAATTTCAACATTTTAAAATATGTTACGCAGTTTATGATTCTTTATTATTTTAAAAGAATAGATGCTAA